AGGACCTAGTTGGTGGGCATATATCTTCCGAGGCGCGTTAGGGTACTGCTTCGACATCGTGGATTGATATCGCGGACGAGGGGGCTGACCTCCCCGAGGAGGTCATCCCAATCGCACGAGCTGGTCGTGATGTGTGCAGGTAACGATGCGGACCGGCATGGCACCTGGAGTCCTACGTTTATGTCTCATCAACGCGCAGACAACTTCTCCTCCCGTAAAGAGCGTCCGTTTCAGAACCGGATCCTGGGAACATCTCGACGACGGCGGCGATGGCACATTCTGAGAGCTACAAACCATGGCATAGCGGGCTCGTTGATGGTGTTGTTATTGACACTCGTATCGTCGGCTCGCGCTGCGTTACTTAACTTCGAAAATTGTTTAGATGCGTCCATCGTCAAGTCAAATCCTTTACAATTGCAGTTTGTTCCGTTGGATGTGTCCGTCGTTTTCGATCTTCAGGAGCCTCTTTATACTCTCAATGTCACGATATATGGCAATGTATCTGGAACTGCCGATCGGTCATCGTCCTACCCATCTCCCGATGATCTCCGGTGGTCGAACCCCAACGATACTGTCGGGAAGATCACTGATCTCAACACCGCCAACAACAAATATAGTACTCTTCTGACCGATGTGGATGTAGTCAGCTTCTCCCCATATAACGATGCGTCCAGATTCTGCGATGCCGTTACCCAAGGGGGTCCTTGCCCTTTGGGACCGGTCTTTTACGCGAATGCGTGAGTCTCGGCTTCCTTATTTGAGCGCCTCGACGCATCGCATCACCTCTCCTGTTCCGTTTGTGTTCTGCTCTTACTGACTTAAGTTTTACTACAGGTCTAACTTGTCCGCGCTGCGCGCTTTCTCGATCCAGCACGACATGCAATCGGCCTACCGCTTTTCTACGCTCTCGTCAACTTTCAGAATCAAATCGGGCGACGCGGCAGCTACTGCGCTCGGGTGTATAACCGTGGATATTACACCGGACCTTGGAACAACTCTGAAGAATGCTCTAGCCTACGTCCCCCTTGTCATCCTTGTGCTCGTCGGAATCGCTACCATTTCTGCGGCAATGTACAGCCCATGGGGCACGACGAATTTCTTCCACTGGACAAGCAATTATGGCCGGGATGAGGATGTTCTGCGGCTTGTGACGCCGGGTTTTGGGGACTGCATGCAGTATATACAGTTCGCGGTTTTGACGGGGGCCCTCTCATTAAATTACCCTGGATATTATCAGCCTGTGGTCAGCCAAGTCGCCTGGTCTACGCTTATGTTCAACCAGAGCTTTGTCCATCCGGGTCATGGGCGAGATCCTGTAATTGATGGGGTTTATGCTGTTAATGCTACCTATGGGCTCGAGAGATTGGATCAGTATGTCGGCATGGCCACCGCAAGCGACATCTGGCCCGGGATGATCATCTGGTTGCTCGTAATCCTGGGCATAGTCACCATTTTGATCCAGCTTGCATTCGCTTTCCGTTGGCTTCACCACGAACTGGCGAATATTCCAGAGGAGGATCTCCGTTCGAAAAATATGCCGTTCACTGTGGGGAATGCGATTCGGATAGTTTTTAACTTTCTGTTCCTCCCCGTGGTGTCATTATCCTTCTTCCAGCTGGTGATTGCTGCCGACTCTCCAGCATACTCTGTGGCGCTCGCTGTTGTGGTTATCCTCGCATTATTGGTATTTTCGATCTGGACCGTCAGATTGATCGTGAGCACGCGCCCAAAGTCGCACCTTTTCGACGACCTACCAACAGTGCTATTGTATGGACCTCTCTACAATACTTTCTGCGACGATGCAGCAGCATTTGCGGCAGTACCAATATTCATCACTTTCGCTCGTGGTGTCGCAATTGGTGCCCTTCAACCATCCGGTATAGCCCAAATAGTTCTCCTCGCGATCTGTGAAGTTGTGTATGTTCTCACCCTCGTGGCCTTCCGACCATTTCCACATCCCACGTCCATGAACCTTTATCATGCTTGTTTCGCCATCGTGAGATTCCTCACGATACTTCTCAGCGTCGTTTTCGTCCCTTCTCTTGGAGTATCGCAGGCCGCGCGCGGGTGGATTGGATACATCATACTCCTACTACACGCTTTGGTACTTGTCTTTGGATTTTTCCTCAACGCACTGCAGACTTTGATCGAAGTGATAGCTCGACTCGCTGGCGCTGGCGGTTACGAGGGTGGCGCCACCCGCGGAGGACTTGTCAAGGTATTCGGCATGCGCCAACTCTCGCGACGCCTACCGAGACGCGATACTGCCGGGACACGCCAAAGCATGGCCTCCGACGCTGCCATGCTTGCGCACACGGACGATCGGATGTCCGCGCAGTTCGATGGATCAAGACCAAGGAGCCTTTCAGGCAGCTTGCTCTTGAACAGAGCAACCGCAAGCGACGGCAGGGCCAGTGGAATCTTCGAATCAGGAAGTGCACATGGAGGGACGCATAGCCGTGCCAACAGCAGTGGATTGTATACTCCTACTACCCTTGGGGGCTTCCAGGGCGCTGGCTATCAGACGACAGGAAGCAACTCACCCAAAAGCGGTCTCATCTACGCCATGCAACCACATGACCCCTATTATAGACCCCCTCGGCCCCGTAGGAATAACGAACGAGGTGGATCTTTCGAAAAAGGCAGGGCAGTCTCCCGCACAGTTTCAAGGTCGGGTAATTTGGGCGATATGGATGACGATCTCATTGAGGGTCCCTCAATCTCTGGAAGGGGTACACCCGTGCCTGCGTATATTCCGGCACCCAAGGACGATCTTGACTACGATGATTCAAGACCGTCCCGCAAGGACTATGCCGTCCGTGAAGTAGACTTCTACTACCGAGTGCGAGGCCCTCCACTTTCCCAGTCTGGCACAAGAAAGTTGAAGACCGGCCCCGCAGATCCCACAGGCCCGGTTTCCTCCGCTACAGGCTTTTTCCGAAATCTCTTCAGGGGAAAAACAAAGGAAAAAGGCAAGGGATTTGAAGTCGTCCGCAGCACAAGAGCTCCTCCTCCTGGCCTCTTTGCCGAGAGAGATAGTTTCAACGAGCCGTACAGGGACGAGCCCGAGGAGCAGCCATCCCCTGATCATGAACGCCAGGCTGCGGAGAACGATGTGGAGGAGTCTGACTCGGGAGACGACGCCAATTCACAGACTAAGCGGCCTTCCATCAGCTTACCACAACTTGACATCGGCGGTGCTATCGAGCTTCCTAGCCGGCTGGGGTCGCGGCGTAGCTCTTTAGCACCCTCCGTGACACGGCGGGATTCTGTCAATGCATTTGATCTGGATAAGGACGCTCCTTCTCAGTCCCTACCCGTGGTTGAGGAAGCCGCTTCGACGGGGGTTTCAACACCCGAACTTCAGCGCGACACTACGCGCTTTCCGACTAGTCAACTTCAGCCCTCTTCCGGTGCCGGTCGCCTGCCATTCAGTGCCAACAGCTCACCTCGGGATCGGAATCTCTCAATCGCTTCCACGATTGGATCGAGATCATCCAGTCGCCGAGTCGGTCATGACGGCAATGGTAAACCTGAACGTCCGTCGAGCGTGGGTTATGTTGCTCAGCACCGAACCTCGGATTACATACACCAGGCTAGTCCGGACGAGCCCACCTTTGCCGGAAGTGCAGCTGAATTAGTGGACGAAGCTCCTCATGGAGGAGTGCATTAAGTCGTCATTGTTAATGTCACTCACCTTCGACATCCGACTCACGAATCTCCTTTCTACTTGCCCTCGTCCTCTTTTCGCATGTCTCTTCCCCTCAAAAATTAATACGTATCGGCGTTTGTGGTATAACTTCCGGATCTTTTCTTTTCCTTTGTCTTCTTCGTTTTCTTTTTGCGCATCGCCTTGAGGATAGCGGCATTTAGCGAAATTTGACCTTTTCTCCAGCTTATCTGACGGTGGCCTCGACATACGGCGAAGCTACCAGGGCATTTTGTTAGACCAGTCTAATTTTGTTTTAAGTCTCTTGCGTGTGATTTAGGGAGGCCCAGTGCAACAGAGGGCCTACACATTTGTACATTTGGGGGCTTCATTTCCCGTATGACATCCTAGGCAATAGTTTATTTAACTATATTGAATGGTAACATGATGCTTGTGGATCTACTTTTGTATTTGGTGCCGATGCTTTTTTCACATGCTCTTGACCACTGTCAGCGATGTCGTTGGTTGACTCGGATTTCAACCTGAAGACAACGAAGTGATGTGTCACGCTACAACTCCAAACAAACACAACATTCTCCTATCGCCACAACGAGTATCTGCTGACACCAACGTCTGTATGTGGGCAACAATCATTCTCGTTGATCATCCATTAATCCCATGCGATTTCCACGGTCAGGTATTTGACATGATCGTGTCTCAATAAATCCTAGCCGCATTTGAGATCAAGCATGTATGCGAATGCAGCAACATCCCAGTGTCGCCGCCGTTTGTAAGCTTGAGGAGCCCCGCGGCGAATTCTCGGGTTGGAGTGATTAGGCACATCCGCGTTGTCTTCCGCACCAAGTCTTTTCTCTAGTTTTGTGCTTCGTGCGCCCCCTTTTTTTCATTTCTGTTTGTTGCTACATATGACCCTGGAATCTTTTGTCTGATTGTTTCCTCAGTCTTGGTGTTATTGTCCTGTCCTTGTCTCGCAGTTGCTGGCTTACTGTCACGAGACCCTTGATAGCCGGTCATTAAGGTCCGGGCCACCATCAGATCCTCGCAGCCTCCTCGCTTCACATAGATAACGAAGTTGCCCTTCTTCATTGCGCTGCGTCTTTCTATCTCTCGCCTATCGAATATATACGACGCTTTGAAAGGAAATTCGATCAGTCTACTATCTCCACGCCAATCCGCATCGTCAGATACCGCACCGCTCTGCGTACCCATCCTGGAATTTCCACGCCACACAGTCAATGACGGACCGTCGTCCAAACGGCGGAGACTGGTCTCCTCTTCAACTGCAGGGAGTCCAAGCTTGAGGTCCTCTTCCTCTACATTTCCAAGGCTCATGTCGTCGTCGTCGAGTACCGCTTCCTCCGCTTCTTCTACCACCGCGGCTCCACCCGCCTCATTCTTCATTCCTGGTCCTACCGGCGCTGTCCCCAGGCCCAGGCCTCACGCTAGCTCAGAAACATTGAGAACATCCAGTGCTGGCGCTACTTTTGATAAACGGTCGGAACGGCGACGGTCAACACTCTCTGGGTCGGACCGGAAGAGAAGGCTGATCAATTTCGAGGGGGATGGGTGGCCGCATCGCACAGGGTCCCACCGGATGATGGAAGCAGGATCGAGTAGCCGGGTGGCAGTGGATAGCAGGTCTATCCAGCCGGCATCGTCGCACGCAGCAGCGACTCCTGCGGTTCCTGGGTCCTCGTTTGCTACACCTATCGAACTATCATCTTCGCCACCGCAGCCGTCGCCTGAAAGACCGGACAATTTGCACCGAACTTCCTGGTCGCAGGGCGCCAATGGATATATGGAGTATATACGGCCCCGTTGGCAACCTGATTCGGAGGTTACGAACTGCCCGATATGCGGAACAACGTTCAGTTTCTGGTACAGGAAGCACCACTGTCGGAAGTGTGGACGGGTTGTTTGTGCAGCTTGTTCTCCTCATCGGATTACAATACCTAGGCAGTTTATCGTCCGTCCTCCGGAGCCGAATCGCTCGCCTGCAGCGACTTTGATACCCGCGCGGGCAGCTCAGATCATCAATCTGGATGGGGACGATACGTCGCAATCGCCGGTAGCGATTAACCCAGCCCTCGGCGGTGGCGAGGAGGTACGACTCTGCAACCCGTGTGTGCCAGACCCGAATCCGGAACCGCTTCGGGGGTACACTGCGGCTCGAGGTGGTGGTGATCAAGGGACGAACTGGGGCAGGGGTCTACCGAGCCAAGGTCGACACCGGTCTTATCACTCCATGTCGACATCTACGAGACAGTTCCCTTATGATGCATTCGTAAGTTTTGTCAACTCGAGAAGCCGAGTGTTAAACACTGACAAGTTCTCGCCTTTCCAGACGGAGTCTTCCTCTTCACGATTGAATCGGCGATCAAGAAGCTCGAATGATTACACAGGCTTGGGCGGTGCTCTAGGAGGCGTGTTTAGTTCCAGCTTACAAGAAAGACCAATGCGATATGGGTCGTTGCCCGGTTCGCAGTATTCTAACCGACATGTTAGTTCGTCGGCGCGTCCCTACCTAGGCTACTTTCCGGCACACCGCCATTTACCTCCACCGGCACCTGAAGGGACCAGTGTATCTACTGGGGGATCGTTCAGTACAACCGGTGATGATCACGATTTTCACCGGCGCGTCTTTTATCCACCGCGGCGACATGTTGACGAGAGCGATATTTGTCCCATATGTAGCGACGAACTTCCACCGCTGGGGGAGAATGGTAACGAGGATGCCCGGGAAGCACATATCCGTGAGTGCATCGAGAGCCATGGCCGTGGCACGCGATCGGCGTCTCGAGGAGGGAGTCCAGTAGCTGCGGCTCCTGTTCCAGTTCGCATGCTTGCATTCACTGCTACGGAAAAGGATTGTCTAGGCCAGGATGGTGCCGTGCAAGAATGCACGATCTGCATGGAAGACTACGAGGTCGGTCAGCCGCTGGTACGCCTGGAGTGTCTATGCAAGTTTCACAAGAGGTGCATTGTAGAATGGTTTGAGCGCAAGAAGGAGTGCCCTGTGCACAAGGTGGCCTGAAGATCCGGCAAGTACGCCACACATCCTACCTCCACATGATTTTCCCATGTTACGAATTGCAGTCCCGCACCTTTTTGGAGTCGATGCTCTCTGGTATAGCATCGATAACGGTCATCTTACGATTTTTTGATATTCAGCAGCATGGCTATCTGGTGGATATTGTCGTTTTCATTTCATAGAGCTAGCGTTTCTTATGTTGAGATGTCAGGTTTGGCCTTTGCTTTGAGTGTTTATTGAAATTGGATGATTAGGCTCTGGCGTTTATGGTTCTGCGGACTCCTCTCATATATCCCTGTCAAGTACTTGCTAGAATATGGATTCATTTCTGGACAATCAGCCGCCAGCTTCCTCTCAAAAATTGGATCACTCAATACGTATGAAATATCGGGATTAAAAAAGCAGACAAGCTGGTTTATGGAAGATACAGTGATGGTCCTGAACCACCGAGTACATAAAACGTGGAAGAGATGAAGGTAGTTAAATTATGCGTCCCGAATCGTGACAAATCAACTTCAGATTATCTTGGGCAGCCCTTCTCCATCCAACGACCGTCAAACTAACGTCCTACTACAGGGTTCTTTCCATCAAACAACACTATCTCCTTTTTGCCAATATATTTACCTGCTATACTTGGAGCAAATGCTTAGATTGATACTGCGAAAGGCTGGATCGTGATCTCCATCTCCCGACATAATCCCCGCTGATCGGTCATCGGTGGCCCGACTGACCGTTTTCCCGACCGTCTGCAAGGGAGCTCGAACTCGACACTCCGATTGCAGCTATTATTTTATCCGATTTAAATCATCCCAGGTAAGCTGAGTCAATCTCTCTTTGTTCAGCGCCGACTGGATGACTCTGAATTTGCGCGCATCATCTCTGAGACAACGATGCAGAGCTACCTGCTGACAATGCCACGGGCATCCGCAGAGTCCGCGCTTGCTTGCACTCGCAGCCCCGCAAGCAATGGACATCGATCCGCGTCTACATATCGGTCGTGACAAGAATGGTGCGGAAGGAGCGCAGACCGGCCACACATACGTTCCAGCTACTGCATCAAGACAAGGAGAGGGCACTCCTACTACCGCACCTTCGACGCATCCTCCCGGCGACTACCCCGACCCGCCGTCGTCCCACTTCTCCCCGAGCGAGCAGGTACACTCCGCGTCCTCCGCCTCAGGTAGCTACAACCACTACGCTGCATCGAATACGCAGTCGACCTCGCCTCATGGGTATTATCCCAGCGAGCCGGTGCGTGGAAACGCATCGACCGACCCTAACGATCCATACGGGGATCTGAAGCGGCCGCGCGCTTGCGAGGCATGCAGACAGCTCAAAGTTCGATGCGAGCCTGACCCGAGCAATCCGAACGGATCGTGCAAACGGTGTGCCAAAGCTGGGAGGTCGTGTGTCGTGACCGCGCCGACTCGCAAGCGTCAGAAAAAGACAGATAGTCGGGTTGCGGAGCTGGAGAGGAAAATCGATGCGTTGACGGCGAGTCTGCAGGCGTCGCAGGGTCAGGACTTACTCCCGCCAACGAAGCCTGCGGTCGAACCTCGGGAGGAACATCAGGGGAGACGATGGCTTGGAGGCGGACAGCCTGCGCCGAGTGGGACGACATATTTGAGTCCTCCCGTAGATCTGGCGGGCAGCAAACGGCATTCCAGTGGGGAGGTCAAGGAACCGAGGGAACCCGCGTCTACAGCAGTGTACCCTCGCGGGCATAGCCCCCTCAAGGAGCAAACGAGGGAGAACGCGCCCTCGAGACAATGGCGTGGTCCGTGGTCGTGCTCAGAGTCTGCTTCCAAAGCGGACACGGGGACTTCCGAGTCTGTCGATATAATCGACCGAGGACTCGTCAGCCTCGCGGTAGCTTCGGAGGCTTTCAATAGATTCGTGACTCATATGGCGCCTCAGATGCCATTTGTGGTATTCCCTGCGGGCACGACGATGAGCGATGTTCGAAAATCCAAACCGGCGCTCCTTCACGCTATCATCGCGGTCTCTATCGGCGCCGTAGAGCCCGATGCTCAGCTCGCGTTGCTGGAAGACTTCTACAAGACTGTCGCAGAGCGAATCGTGGTTAAGGGTGAAAAGTCTTTTGACCTGGTGCAGGCTTTGGTAGTCTCCTGCAATTGGTACACTCCACCTGACCATTTTGAGAAGCTGAAATTCTACCAATTGACTCACATGGCCGTCACTCTGGCGATGGACCTTGGGATGAACAGGAAGTTGTTGGTTCGAAACAAGCCTTTACCGATGTTCAAGGATATGGTTATGAAGAAGCCGCCTTCAATGAATCTTGATTCACCGGAGACGCGACGGACATGGCTTGGTTGTTATTTCATGGCTGTCCAGTAAGTCTGCCTGTCACGGCGATGATCTTAGTACCCTTGCTGACCTTCTGGCAGAGTTGCTGTTTCTTTAAGGCGTGTCCTGCTCGTCCGATGGCAGCCATATATGGACGAATGCGTGTCGATTCTGGAAAATTCTCCAGATGCATTGCCTTCAGATAAAGCAGTGATACAGTGGGCGAAACTTGCGCACATGACTGAGGATATCAATTTCCAGTTGTCGTCCGATGATACCGTCTATGTGCCCTTCACAGATCCGAAGGTTCAATACACGGTGAAGGTGTTTGAAAAGCAACTGGAACAGTGGAAGAGGGAGACTCCACCGGAAATCTATACTCGTAAGTTCGGTGGCCACGCTGTACATGAACCAGCTTAGCTGACCAACGTACAGCTGTTATGAAACAGTCAGAGCACATTGTGAATCTTTACATATACGAAAACTCCATGTTGATGGATACCAGTGACGACCGGAAGAAAATAGGAGAAGAATATACCAACGCCGCTTATATGCATGCACTAAGCGTCTGTTTGACGTCCATTCATCAAGTGCTAGACACCACTTGTTCCGTCGATATCAAGGACTTGATCTCCCTGCCGACCGTCTGCCTGGCAAGAGTATCATTTGCTGCAGTCTCCCTCATCAAGCTATATTCTGTCGTTTCATTCCCCGGGAGCCAAATAGGACAGGTCATTGATCCATCCAGTCTCAAGATTGAATACTACCTCAACAAAGTGATTGACCACTACACCGCAGCAGGGGAGCTTCCTGGGGGCCGAACACCAGGCAAATTTTCTGTGGTCCTCGCCATGCTTCGGAGTTGGTTCGTCAAGCGTAAAGACCACAATCGCGCACTGAGAGAAGCATTCGGGGGAGGACCAGTTTCTTGTACCACAGTGGATCTCTCAGAGTCCCACGAAGGAGACAAGGCCCAATCGGTACGATTCGCCTCCGTAACCCTCCTTATCCTATGACAACTCGCTATAAGCAGAATAAAACTAACATGTCGAACAGGGTCAGACCCCGCTTCACCTCCTCAGCGAAGTCGCCAACAGCCGCTCCGCTACAGCCCATCCTTCCTCCCACCGACCAAGTTACGCCTCCCAGTCCTCCGCCGAACCCACCACCCAGACACCATCCTCCGATTTGACCGCGCAAACCGCCCCGTCTAGCACCGCTACCGATTCAGACCCTTGGACCCAATACCCGTCCGTGCCCCTTTCATCCGCAACAACCCAGACTCAACAGCAAGCCCAATCTCGCCAGTTCTACTCGCCTTTCAACTCGAACTACCAGGATATGTCATCTTACAATGACGGCGGCAATATGATGATGTCCTCGATGAACCAAGGATTCTTTGTGCCCGAGTTAGGAATGCATGTTGGGTTCGACTCGGGGAATATATTCGCGCTGGAGCACCTGTTCAACGATGGGCTGTTGAACCTTCCATTACCGGCCGACGTGGGAATGGGGTATTACTGATCTTGAGGGTTTACAGTGGTTATTCAGATGAAAGTAATGGAGCAGGTCTATAGATATCCCCTGTTCTTGGTTACTGTTTGTTCCAGCGTACTGTCGTATATGTATGAAGATCATTTTGGTTTGTTTATATCTCAGGCCAGCCATATGATATATCCAGGGCATTTTGCTCCTTACTCTTAGCAGCTAGCGTACATGAATCTTCAATAATTCACCTCGCTGTCATCTGTTTTGCGTACTTTGTGGTAAATGCAATGTTCCAGGACTGGGATGTTTGAATTGTTCAAGAATAGGTGCAGTATGCAGCGTGAACACGGTGAAGAACTCCCACATAGAAGCCCCACACGGGAGCGATCTACTTCCCAGAAGGGTTAGGAAATGGCCCCACCTAATATGCCGCGATTCTTGTCGTCTGATCCTGAAGAGGAAATTATAGCGGCATGGAACGCGGTGCATCGAATCGCCGTTGCGGACGGCTTGCGGTGCATTACCGCATTGCGCGTAGATCATGTGGAGAGTCCTTGAAGCCTTGCAAGGCAGCAAGGGGTTACTCCGAGACTGAAAGAGAGTTTGTAGGTTTTAAGATTGTAGGTTGGGCACCACAAGGGGGGCCGCTAATGTGGACGCGTAAGTGGAAAACTTGCGTGTTCGACGGTAGATCGAGCGGCCTGCTTATGTCGATCAAGTACTGGCTGGATAGGAAGATGTGGACGGGAAACCCCCCAGAGACGACATCGCTTGTCAAGTTGCGGTGAGACCCCAGTCGTGGCTGAGTTTTTGCACCTCGAATGCCCACGGCCAACCGTTTTCTGCCTCTGTTTTGCGAAGGAGAGCAAGGAGGCAATTCTGTGCCAGAGGATCGAGGATCCATGAACCGCCTAAAAAGAAATTAGCGGCTCGTTAGGGCCTGGAAACTTTACCGAACGTTCTCCACTGGGAAGACTTACAGGCACAGAGCGCGTGGCAGGCCATGATGCGTACTGATGGGTCATCGTCGGTTGAGAGGGCAATACCGAATATAATGCCGAGATTCGTCAGAATATCATCCTGCTGAGTTTCAGCAATTATGCTTAATTAGGCAACCTGTTGAAAACAGACCTTGATTCTCCTCACGATATGTTCTGGTGGGTTGCCAGCATGCATCGTGTTTAGTTCATGCTCCAATAGTAGAGCCTTTGCCATACAAATATGCTGTATCGCGGTAGCTATGCTCGCGATATAACAGTCAGCTCGGAACGTCAATTTCTCATGCGGCTGACCAAGTCTTGAGCTTACCATGTAAAGGTGTCGTATACCATATGACGGGAAACGGCCTGTGATTATGCGGGTCGGCATGCGAGAAGTGTAATGGCTGGAAAGTTTCTGGCTTCTCCAATTCCCATATTCGGACTTTTCTTTTCAATTCGGCACCATCCACCGTGTCTAAATGCATTTGGTGATTCGCGCCATAGCAGTAATTGATGGTCTCAGCTAGAAGCCACGTAGCCCTATGCGTCCAATCTCGTTCAGCTAGGGGATTCTTGCTCTCCCACATTTGGTAAAGGCTTTGTTCAAAGGGGCTGAGCGTCAATCGTAGGGGATTATGGTGCGAAAGTGCAAACTGAATATCCTGCATCAAAAAGACCCAAAACGATGCCTCTGCAAGACCTCCGGAGACTGCACAGTCGACCTGAGAGCTGAAATAAACTGAACCGGCTAGGAGGTGTCGCTGCTGATCGGTGGAGGGAGCGTGAGCTGTAAAGGCGTGCCAATGCATTAGTGATTCGGTCCATGTAATTGCTCGTTTATCCCTCGCACGCACAAGAAATCTGCTCAAAGAAGCGTAATATCACCGTTGAAGCGAGAACAACCTCGATGCTGATGCCAAAGTTTCTGTTCTCTAGCGCGGGAAGAAGGATCGCGATACACCGTTCGTGATATTCATCTGCGATATTCGGGGGTACTGAGTTCTTGGTGTGGGAGAGGTGGCGAGCCGCTATCGCCAAACACGCATAGAGAAGGAGTGGACAGGAGGGTGCCCGTTCCACCACGTCTATCGAGAAATGCATTTCATAGTCGCTCACGTCCAGCTAGATAAGTGTAGTTAGCCAGATAGCTCACGAGATTGAGAGAATAGGACAGTACCCAGGCACCCAAGGAGTTTCGGAAATGTCGTAGAAGGAAGGCTTCATTGAGACTGGCCAGTTTCTGACGGCTGATCAGAGCGTCTGGGGGCAGAAGAGAATCGGTCACATTGGGAGCGACTTGTCCTGCAATCCCCGACCAGCGTGGAATACTTGGGGAAGGAGAAGGGTTCACACCGTTGACGATCGCTGACGAAGGGAATGCTGCACCAGACGCGGATCGACCTTCAGGCACCGCCTCAAGGAAGGATGTTGGCATCTCTACCGGAATAACATGATAATCAGCAGCCGTGCGGTCGGTCTCGTCTTCGAAATCGACTGAATGATTGTAAGACACCCCATCAGTGTCAGTGCTGGCCCATTCCTCGTTTCAAACCTGAGAATCATGAAAGCTTCGGATGGACGTACCTTCTGGGGGAGTTTTGACCCAAACCTGGTCGTCAGGAAAAGTCAAGTCACTCTCTCCATAGCGAGGGGGACCCTTTGGCCTCAGAGATGGATTCTGACCGTGTCGGAAAGTGACCTCCTCCGGTTTCGTTGGTGCTGGAATACACTTGCGCCCTGATCGCTGACAGCGCAGACACTCCGTACCAGTTTTATCACCTAAAGTTCGCTGTCAGATATCTAGACCTCTTAGACTAGCCGTGCAGTTCGAGAGTGATAGTGATATTTACATTTCAGATGGCGCTGGCGACAAGTGAGACTTTAAGAGACATCGCACCACGTTAGCGACGGCCAAGACAAAATAATGCGACTGACAAGCAAAGACACCAAGAGACAGGGTGCAAGGAACATTGACTGACCATCCCCTCATCACGTTGTCCTGAGGATGGTCATCGACAGGCAACTATAACAGCCATGGATGAGATGAAAACATCTACCGGTGTCCGAACCGATCTGTGAGGCGAGAAAGGCGTAATAAACAAAGGAAGATTGGAAGGAAAGCAAAATATGCGAGAAAGATGAGAGAAGCACTAAAACGCGGCTAGAGACCGGCCACCCTAGCGATAACAAGTGATGATGCTGATGAATGGTCAAATAAAGCCTGAGTGGTCTGTTGGTGTGTGCAAAGCGGATCGAGCGGACCAAGATACTCTGCGGGTCAACACCGAATGAGAGAGAAAAAAAATGCAGTACACAAGGACTTGGCCTAGCGAGTGATGCTGATTTAAAGAAACGAGGAAGCATGGCTGTCTTTCATAGATCTGCAACGGCAGACACAGGGATGTTGTTAGGCCAAGTGACTTCCTACCGCATCGTTCCAAGGATCGCAGTAGTAGTGTGTGATGAAGTCCATGAAGAACGTCCAGACTGCTACAGGCCGACGGTCTCCTTCTCCAACCGGAATAGCGACCTATTCAAGCTTCAAGGCCGGATTGGAGCGCTGCAGAGCCGATGGCGTTCTCTCCGACAAGCGCATGGCGATTGACATGACCGCCTCTGATCACTGCCGAAACGAGAAAATCCTCCCAAGCCTATATTAGGGAGGACCCATCCTCCTCAACGGTGCAATTAGGCTCAAAGTAAGCGAAGCAGAGTCTCGGTACTTGTGATGATTCAATTTCCGAGCCTCTGTATGGTTACTCCATCCTTCAACCCTTCAGGGGGACCCCTTTGGTCGGCCGAGTAGAACTATTCTTCCCTGACTCCTCCACAATGAACCTTGGTTTGCCATCGAGGTAGTATCAGCGGCCCCACTGTCTTCGTGAAATAGAGCCTAGTGCCAAATATCCTTTGATCTGGACTCTACCGACGTACATCATTCCCGCTAGTCGTGGGGGTTCACGACTGGCATATTGTTCCGGACGGGCACACCTTAAGGCTAAAACGAGTAAACGGCCCTTCAAGGCGAGATGAGTCCAGTTCCTATTCGGCAAAAATCTGCCTTACTATCCGATAGCTCCATTTCCTCCGTCAATAAGCGGGTGAGATTGATAAAACCCTTTCACGCCAGGCCTACGTTAGGAATGACAGTCTTTTCGTGTGATGGGCTTGACAAACGCACCTCTATCTAGACGAACTGAGGTCACGTGACTTGATATGATTCCATCCTCGAGTTGTTGTTAAATGCTCCTTCCGACTCAATTCAGGAGAAAAAGCGAGTAGGCAATGAGTCAAGTACAGATTGACTCTGTGACGATTCTGAAACAGGTTCTCCGCCACCAACGTCTCAGATGATCGGGCGACAGGAGGACGAAGCTCGACAGCACCGTGCTAAGTAGCCCGAGCCCCGTGCGTCTTTGGTTTCATGATTTAGTTTCGTGTTTCGCATCGAAGCTCCATTTCTAGCCAGACTAGAACGGCTAGCTAATGGCGAACCTCCAATTGTGGCCTTACCAGGCAAGAGAATAATCATAGTTCTCAGGTGATGTTGTGATGTTGACGCTGTGGTGATGCTAAAAGCACTGGAGCCTGTAAACAGACAAGATTCACATGATACCCACGTGATATTTACGGTTTTCTATGAGAAGGCATGAACCTTTGTTTTGGAACCTTGGCTTGGCGCTGTGTACTTTATCATCATTCCAAACATAGACGTTGAAGACTTCGCAAACGTTTCCATGCAGTACCAAGCATTTCGTCCCTGTTCCCGCGTCGAAAACACGTTGGAGGCTCATGGACAACATTGGAACAGCTACCACTTACATTACAGGAAACAGACAGCTAGCTTCTTCCTGATGAGACGGTTGTTTGTGACGATGTCCACTTCCGTTTGCCCTAAAAAGTGTAGATGAATATTACGGTTTTATGGGTCTCCGAATATATGAGGATCTTCGGTAAGATTGTCGATCAATTCTGCATTCAGTGTTCGTTCGCGACTGACTTTGCCGGGCCAAACTTTTGCTCGGCAGTTGAGTAGCAAATTGAAATCTCGGTACCCTTTATTGAGGCTAATGAACTTGTTTTGTGTTGCTGTCACCCAGATAAGTCAGCAAGTCGAAGGATAACTAAGCAAATCTACGACTCAGTGGGCGAAATGGTGATGGATGCGCGTCACCGGGATTCACCCTCTTAGCCAATGGGCCCCTTTTGACGGGGCCTATTATGAGCAACTGCTTTACCAATCGTTGTCCTCAGGATAGGCTGCGTTCAGCTCCAGATTCGGCTTGGATTTGACTTCATATCATAAGGATGTCAAGCAGCGAAGCTGAGCAAAGGAGGAATGGCCTCCACAACACCAGCATGCTTCACTGTAGGCTCAGGGACTATATCGCCGAACGGGATATCCGCTTCGGCCACTTAAATCAGAAGATTAAATGGCCGATTGGATCCTAGGTGGCCTCGTGGCTCGTGAGCGGCTAAATATCACTACTGCTTCTGATTAATATCACTGCCAAAAAGCATGCAGAATGGGTCCGCTGTGTTTATACTTTCATGGAGATCGTCTCTTCGAACCAGACTTGCACTGTCAACGAGAGGTACTCGGAACAGAACAGTATGAAGATTCTCTGTCTCCATCCTTGGTGAGCCTGCCAGCTCTGCTACCGTTTCTTCCGTACATTCTGCCCATGCGGCATCGGCTTACGATGTATCGTACTTGACAGGGGAACATCTGCGGTGATATTTGAGAAGCAGATATCAAATATCTGCAGTCTGATCGGCGAAACTCACAATTATGTCTTTGTTGATGGTCCTGTGAGATGTGGACCGGCAAAAGGTGTGTATCTGTTGAGGGACAGGGAGAGAGACCAACGCAGAGACCAGCGCAAGGAAAGACAGAAGGTGAAAGGCAGAATATAAAATCTCACTGATAGTCTTGAGTAGGACTGCCGGCTATCGAAAAAGGACCCTTCTACAGTTGGTACGAGGGTCTATCCTGTGGCGAAGTCAAGACAGCGAGCGACCTTGTATGGGATATCATCGATGAAGAAGGACCTTTCGATGGAGTGATTGGCTTCAGCCAGGGTGCTTCGCTGGCTCTGTCCATCCTATACCACCATCAAATCAATCGGCCCCACCAACCACCACCGTTTCGCTTTGCGGTCTTTCTTTGCTCCGTGCTTTCGATATCGCCTGACCCAAAGTTCAACGCAGATATTATCGACAAGTACAGCCGATACTACAAGTCATCTGTCGAGCCAGGGCTTGAGGATAACATGGCAAATATCAGCGAGGAAGATGACGAAGTGGAAGAAGAGAAGAACAGCAAGATGAAAAAGGTTCCGAAACGCCGCGTCATGCTGCTATTACCAGGCCAGAAAAGAGCATTGGCGAACGACGTGGTTGGTCTCGTTCGTCAGTTGTCTGAGAACGCAGCCGGCCACGACGGGACTGCCCAGAAACTATGGAAGCAGAGGGGAGGTGACGAAGGCTTCCCGCGGGTCTACCATCCTCTAGTGAACAAACAGCGCATCTCTATCCCCACTGTGCACGTCATCGGTCGATCAGATCCCCTGCGGCGGCAGAGCGAATTGCAAGCCAGGCTGTGCAACAAGAGCCTGGCTCGAGTAGTGGAGATCTCCGGGGGCCACCGAGTGCCTCGGACCTCGAGCGACCTGCAGTCAGTGGCTTTTGCAATCGAGTGGGCCATTCGAATGGCTCAGCTGCAGTAAATCCAAGCCTAATGGGGGAAGTTGGATCTTGACTTTTGCCCCTGCCTTTCTTTGGAAGAAGAATAATATATCGCCTGAGTATTGTTAGTACCATCTGCACTTCAAATAGCCTAGTCAGTCATGCTGTTGTTTGACCCGTTTGAGATTTTGAGTCTAACTCTTCCCACGGCTCCTATGTAAACTGCCCCTTACTTGTGCTTTCTTCTGGCTTCTGCATGGCCGTCCGAGCATTTGCAGGATATATTCCTGCAGCAAGAAAGGAGTCAGCTCAATGGTTAGGACTAATGGTCCGATTACCGTGAACGGAGATACCAGGACGTTCTTCTACATTTTCTTGATCGAGATAGATGCCTGCAAACAGCTTGAAATTGTTGTTTCTATCTACGCGAAGTCCAACTCAACCCTATTCCACCCGCTCAGCGGATTCTCGTCCCTCTGGCCCATCAGTTCAGGAAAATGCGGAGATGGCAACGGTATAAACCGCGTCCAGCTGAGCAGCTTCCGAGGCAATGGTGGACGCATCCGCCGCTGTGACCTTCCGCTGCAGCTGCGTCGAGAGATCATCAGTCAGACCCTGGAGGGTTTCGAGGTCTGACAAGACGACGCTGGTCACGCCCGCGGATGCGAACAAGGATTTCTTCAGATCATCAGTAATGGGATCTCAGACAGTGGCAGCGTTCAGTCGACCATACCTTGCCGATGATCTTGTCGAGGACCGTGACGATGCTCGTCTCAAGGCCTGTCACTGCCTTGGTCACGCTCGTGCTGTCGGCGGCCCCGAACACAGGGGAGGCAGTCAGATCAATGACGGTCTTGTTGAGCGCATCCGACAGAGTCATTTCATCCTGCTGAACGCTCACGGCACCGGTTAAAGTGCCGTCGAAGTTCGCGACTGTGGTGCTGAGCGTTGACAGATGGTCCAAGATGCTGCTCAAATCCGCGAGAACAGTGGAGGCGTCTCGCAAGGCCAAGGGACTGGCGGAGACGCCAATGGAGAGGAGAACGGCGAGGAGCTGCTTAGCGATCATGGTGGGTTCGCTGAAGGATTGCTTGTTTCGAATGCACAAGGACAGAGCTTGCTGATCTGGTTCCTGCAAAGCGAGGCTTTGAACATCCTATAAATATGGCAAGTCCTGGCCGGCCGAACAAGAAGCTTCCATACTCATCCCTCGTAAGTACTCCTCGTCAGGATGCCATTAAAGCGGCCCGTCCGAGAATAGACAGACGGGAGGTTTTGTTGCGGATATGGCGTGAGAAGAGTTCAGCCTGCTTGATTAACATCATGCTATCAAAAACATACAAATCTGAATGCCTCGGTCTAAATTTAATAATTTTGAAGGAGATGCAGACCAATCAACCAACAGCAGTAGCGATGGCGGCTGTCGGCGTCCAGGGTGTGAAAAGTGGCCGAGACCGAGAAAATTGGCCTGTTGGCTCTTCCTCCATCAACTGCACTATAGCGTACGCACTAACCATAGACAATCCCTGCACTCAATCTACGCGGACGACCATGTCGACAGCTGTGCTAGCTCAGCTGCACATGGAGTCACATTCATCGGCTCAGTCAGTTCATTGTCTGCCCACCACTGTAGGCAGACATATATATCCCCAATATGAGCCATGCATGACCCGAAGCCCCTTTGCGAACAGACACCTTCCATATCCTGCGTGATTGTGCATCACCACTAACTATCAAAAAAATGAAAGAGATGCGGGAGTCCCAATTTACGATGGACAAGAGCAGCGAGACTGACAATGGCTCTTCAAGAGACTTCGAGGTGACAAGACCAGTCATCGCAACCTGGCGGCTGGCTATAATCCTCCTCTGGTAAGGTCCTATAAATACCGCGATATTATGGGTTGGAGATGCGTCGTGCTCGAGGATGCTGAACATAAGGCACCACTAGCATCGCCGTCGGTCTGTTCCTGTCACTGATGGATACGACCATCGTCTCAACGATGCTCTATACCATCTCGGATGAGTTTGGCGGGTTCCGAATGTCATCGTGGATTGTCCTCGCCTACACACTGTCCTATGTCGGTAAGCATATCTATCTTCTTGTGCTCAGTAATGGCAAACGGGCTTATGGTTGTCTTGTACAGGCTGCGCCGTATTTATAGCCCGGGTGTCAGATGTGATTGGCAGGAAAATCGCCCTCTTCACCTGCTTTCTTATCTTTCTTGCCGCGTCCATGGCGTGTGCAGCTTCCAAGGATCTCAATCAACTGATCGGCTTCCGAGCCGCCCAGGGTGTTGGTGGTTCCGGACTGTATGCCATGGCGATGATAATCTATCCAGAAATCAGTCCACCGGCGCTACTACCGATCATCTCATCGATTGTTGGGGTCATTGTGGCGCTGGCGGGTATCAGTGGACCGATCATTGGTGGGCTTCTAACCACTTATACATCCTGGCGATGGGCATTCTGGATCAAGTGAGCTGTCTCTGTCCCCCGCTAACAGGAATCAGTGGCTGACCGTCGAACTTTAGTGGCCCTTGTGCCTTTGTCCCGGCCGTTGCCCTATTCCTGGTCTGGCCGAGCGATTTCCACGCCACGAAGAATGCCCGTTTCAAGCATCTCGACTACCTTGGTACTCTCCTTATCATGCTCGGCAGCGTACTGTTCGTGTTCATTCTCAACCAGGCGGCTACCCGCGTCTACGCGTGGAAGAGCGCTCCCGTCATCCTCATCATTGTGATTTCTGGTCTTGCGTGGATAGCACTGGTCTGCTGGGAGTGGATCGTGTCGCGGCATCCCAAGCTCCGGCACCTTCGCCCTCAGCTGCCCTTCCGACTTCTGGCCGATAGAGTCATGCTGGCGGGATTCCTGTAAGTTGGAAATTGGTGCCTATGAACCCAATCACTTGCACTAATCGCTTTTGCACAACAGAAGCACCATGTTAACCGGGTTCGTCATGCTGCTCGTCATCGTCAACATCCCGCTTCGCGCGCAACTCGTCAACCTCAAAGACGCGATCGGATCCGGGGTTCTCCTTCTGCCTCTAATGGGAAGCACCGCCGTCGGCTCGGCACTGGGGGGCGCCGCCTCCGCCAAAGAGAACAATACCTTCTGGACTCTGAACCTGGCGAGCATTTTCATGCTCATCGGCAGCGCCCTTCTGTCCACGCTTCCTGACTCCGTGGATCCCGTCCCGCAGCAATACATATTCGAGGCAATCCTCGGCTTCGGGCTGGGATTGAGTCTATCTACGATGACCTTCCTGACGTCCATGCAGGTGAAGTTTGAAGACCACGGTGAGTAGCTGACGCATTCGACGCTGTTTGCTTGCCGAGACTGACGGGCCGGGCCACATAGCCGTTGCACAGGGAGTCGTTGCGCAGCTGCGGATCTTCGGTGGCAGCGTCGGCATCGCAGCCAGTTTCATCGTCTTCAACCACAAGATCCAGGAGGCGCTCACCGGTGTGCTGACTCAAACGCAGCTGGATGACTTTTACCGCTCGCCAACGGCCATCTTCAGCTTCTCCGTGACTCAGCAATTGCTTGTTAGGCAGACCTATATCGACGTGTTCAACATCGACATGCGAGTCTGTGCTGGGATCTCGGCTGCGTGCCTGGTTGCCACCCTATTCACCTTCCAACGTCGGCCGCAGTCGATCAAGGAGCGGCTTGCGGACCTGGAAGAGGCCTATGCGCGTACTGAGGCCGCGACGGCAGCGGCTGCAGCGGCTGCACATGAGAGGTAAAAGACAGGCCTCGGCAGTGGAATGGAACGCCTGGCTACGGTAGCGATGCTTAAGACTTGTTTGGGCTCAAGCGGAAGGCAAATGGCTCATCGGTATACTTCTATTTTTGTTTATCCTACGGAAATCCTTTGTCAACGGACAGATATAGAAATTGTTGCTGCTCTTACAATTTGCTCTTTGCTCATGTAGCTATTTGACCCAATCGTTTATTTATATCTCAAGGGTTCTTACAAAATCATGGCAGACGGCGCAAGCATCGTCTTCTCGGAAGAAGAGAAGCTTGCCTCGATTTTATTTGCACAGTTAAACAATTATCCATGATCACAACAAAATCACAAGGGGAAGGCGGACGTCACCGTCGACGCTATCGTCGCTGCCGTCATCGGCATCGTCGTCAACAGAACATATTCTCATCGTGGAAGCCACCCGCTTCCACGACCATCTACCTCAGAAGGTGGTCTTGCAATCGTCAAGGCCATCTTGCACTAGATCATAGTCCACTGTTTACCAAGGCGAGCAACGGCGTAGTCTGTGGTTCTGCTCCTAGCCTTACTCAGAATAGCTTCCTTCTAGACTAGGATCAAGCCCACGGGGCATCACTAACGGCCAATTTCACGCTGGGCTCCCTCGTGGGTAGACAAGACTAGCGCCTCTTGCCCCTAAAACAAGACGCGCCAGGCTCAAACGCCCGAACTTTGTCGGCTCGGCGTCTTTTCAGAAGAATAAAGTGTCCGTGACCGCCCCTGTAGACGCTGAGCACTAGAGCGTCGTTGAGACATCCCTCAAGAGAAAGCCTCCGCCGGAGTCTGGCACGGCGCTTTGGAATGGGAAGAGGTGTCAGTGCGTAAACTCCAATATCCGTTCATCCCATACCACATCTCTATCGTACCTACTGAGAACGAAGGTCAGGCGGATCAAGACGCCAGTCGGAGGGACCGTGGTCTATGCCGAGATGCTAATCCTCCAGCATCCTTACAACACCCCGTGGGGTTGACAATGGGAAAGTCAATCCTGGAACACCCCGATGTCCGAGGAAGGCTTAAATGTTAAATTGACGATGTGAGAAGCGATCAGCGCTCAGAGCAGGGAAACTAGACCGCTGTTCAGTCGTCTTTTTCTTAGCTTCCATATACTTTGAGAATTGTTCGATCTGAGGCACGTGCAAGAGACTTCATCTAGCTTCGGCGATGTCTGAGATGACCACGATGAGCGACAAGCTGGAGCCCCTTGCAATTGTTGGCATGAGCTGGCGGTTCCCTGGCGAGGCGAACTCGGCCAGTGGCTTTTGGGATATCCTTAGCAATGCGAGATCGGCTAAATCTCGAATCCCAGAGGATCGCTTCAACGTCGACGCACACTATCATCCGTCGGCCGATCGGAATGGATCTGTAAGCGTCTCCGATATTTTGTGGCGAGTAGGATGCTGAAAGTCTCTGCAGATCATCACTAAGGAAGGGCACTTCTTGAAAGAGGATATTGCCGCCTTCGATGCTCCCTTCTTCTCAATGACAGCAGCGGAGGCAGAGGGCATGGACCCTCAACATCGCATTCTTCTGGAGGTCACTTACGAGGCGTTTGAGAATGGTAGGTCGCACCGAAGCCTGGACAAAGTATGTCGGACACGCTGACAGGACCCAGCCGGGATGCCGATCAAATCCGTGGCCGGCAGTCAAACCGCAGTGTGAGTCGACAGAACGACGGCCATGTACAGAAAGCTTACTAGTTGTAGCATGGTTGGCTGCTTTACCAGAGACTATGAGATGACTTCCGGAGCCGAAATCCACACCATGTCCCCGTACGCGTCAACTGGTTGTGGTGCCTCCATGCTGGCGAACCGACTATCGTGGTTCTATGATTTGCAAGGCCCGTCTCTGATGGTTGACACCGCATGCTCATCGAGTCTGGTGGGACTTCACCTGGCTTGCCAGGAATTGCGGGCTGGAAAAAGTAAAATGGTATCAAGCATCCTGGCCCCCAGCAGCAGTGCCACCTTCCTTCTCATGGGCTTTCGCTTCGCTTTGAGAGCTACGAAGGTGATACTAATCGCGACTCTGTAGGCAGTCGTGGCCGGAACCAATCTTATAATTCAGCCGGAACTGTGGCGTGGATTATCCGCGTTGCGATTTCTCAGCCCCGATGGACAGTGCCACAGCTTTGACAGCAGAGCCAATGGCTACGGCCGGGGCGAAGGCATGGGAGTTATAATCGTCAAGCCCTTGGCAGACGCATTGCGAGACAACGATGTCATTCGCGCAGTCATTAGAGTAGGTCATATTTGCCCTTTTTATGGAGTCATCCGTTGAATGAGTGGGCGGCTAGGGCACCGGTATCAATCAGGACGGCAAAACCTCCGGTATCACTGTACCGAGCGCCGAAGCTCAAATTAATCTCATCAAGTCAACATACGAGACAGCCGGGCTTGACTTTTCCAGAACAACCTACTTTGAGGCCCACGGAACTGGCACCCCAGTCGGTGACCCTTTGGAACTATCAGCCATAGGACAGACAATTGGCTTAGCGAAGGGAGAACACGAGTACCCACTTCTGGTAGGATCCGTGAAGAGCAATATTGGTCACTTAGAAGGAGCGTCAGGCATTGCAGGAGTCATCAAGACTGTCCTGGCCTTGGAGCAGGGCATGATACCCGCTGTACATGGATTCGAAACCCCGAATCCTCGTCTGCGCTTGGAAGAATGGAACATAAAGATTCCCACGGAGCTAACACAGTGGCCCACTGTCGGCCTCCGTCGTGCTAGTGTCAACTCGTTTGGATACGGTGGGACCAACGCACACCTGATTCTCGATGACGCGCTGCACTACCTTGATGGTAAGTCGTGCCCTGTTCCACTATCGGTCTGCAAGGGATCCGAACGACTGACCAGCTGGGAACAGAAAGAAATCTGACAGGAAACCACAACACTCAGAGGATAACCGGTACTCCACTCTCCGAGAGTACTGATTCGGGGCTCTCGATTGGCGAAGAAGATTTCCCGCTTGACAAGATTGGTGGCGCTGCAAAGCAGAGGCTGTATGTCTTCTCGGCACCCGAGCAGGATGGATTGTCGCGTCTGGCCCAGACGTACATGGACTTTCTCCGAAGCAGCCTTAGCCCCGAAAACAACGGGTTGGCATATGAGAAGGCGACGCAAATCGCTGCGTTGGCATATACTCTGTCAGAGAGAAGGACAGTTTTCGATTGGAGGAGCTTTGCCGTCGCAGAGTCTACGGAGGATCTCCTAGGATCGCTGGAAAGATCGCTCCCCAAGTTACCTCGTGCTGTCAAGTCGCCTTCCTGCGCCTTCGTTTTCACCGGCCAAGGAGCGCAGTGGTATGCCATGGGAAGGGAGCTCCAGGAGTACGACATTTTCAAACAGAGCATAGTAGCCGCGGACAAATACCTCATCTCACTGGGATGCCCCTGGTCGGCTCTCGAGGAGCTCAACCGCCCGGAAGACCAAAGTTGCATCAATGAACCTCAGATCTCTCAGCCATTGTGTACTGTCCTGCAGATTGCACTAGTAGATCTTCTGAGTCACTGGGGATTGCGCCCAAAGGCAGTTGTCGGTCATTCGAGCGGCGAGATTGGTAGGTTCCCTCCTCTGCTGCAATTGAATGCCCCTTTGCATACGGACCTGCTAACAGGGCGGTAAGCCGCCGCGTACGCTGCTGGTGCTTTGGGTACACAGGACGCCTGGAAGATTGCCTACTTCCGAGGAGTACACACAGCCGCAATGGCGTCCCTCTTGCCGGGCCGCAAGGGTTCGATGATGGCTGCGAGCATCTCGGAGACGTCGGCACAGAAGTACATCGACCGTCTCACACAAGGAGAAGCAGTCGTGGCTTGCATCAATAGTCCTCAGAGCGTAACAATATCAGGAGATCTCTCCGCGGTGACAGAAATCGAGAATATGCTGAAGACAGACGATGTCTGGTGTCGGAAACTCAAGGTTCAAACAGCATATCATTCCCCTCATATGAAAGTGATCGCCGAGAAGTATCTGGAATCGATTCAAGATGTTGTCCCCGCTGGATCCTCCAATATCACCTTTTTCTCTTCTGTCACAGGAGCTGAGATCTCCCATGGTGACCTGAGCGCGGAATATTGGGTCAAGAATCTTCTGAACCCAGTAAGGTTCAGCGAGGCAGTTACGGCTTTACTCAACCATTGCGCAACAAAGAGTCGTCGCAAGGCTACAACCAATGTCAACGCCCTCATTGAGCTGGGTCCTCACTCTGCCTTGCAGGGACCACTCAGGGATATTCTGGCGGCCGCTTCTGAATCATACCTCGAGTCCGTCAGTTACGCATCTATTCTCCGCCGAGGCGCCGATGCAAAGGAGACTGCATTGTGCGCAGCTGGACGACTCTGGAGCTTGGGCTTCAAGCTGGACCTAGCGATTGTGAATAACATGTCCAAAACTCCAGGCAGCTCCAAAGCCTTGGCGAACCTGCCCAGGTATCCGTTTAATCATAAAAGACGATACTGGCATGAGCCGAGGTTGAATCTATGGAGACGTACCCGTGCTCAGCCAAGAACTGACCTGCTTGGAGTTCCAAGTGATGATCACAACCCCATCGCTCCTCGTTGGAAAAACTTTCTAAGGCCAGTCGAGATCCCGTGGCTCATGGACCACCGCATCCAGGGGATGCTGGTCCTTCCGGGAGCAGCCATGTTGACGATGGTTATGGAGGCTTGCCAACAAACAGCAAAGCAATCTGAGACCATCCATGCCTACCAGTTCCGGGATGTCACTTTTCTCCGCCCACTGCTTTTTACCTCCCCCGCTGCAGCTATTGAGACGTTGATGCAGCTCAGGCCTCATCAAATGGGTACCAAGGCCAACACGGCTCACTGGACTCAATTCTCACTACTCTCCATAGGTTCTGACGGAGCTGCTATCGAGCACTGCTCCGGACTTGTGAAGCTTATTTATGCCTCGAAGCCAAATGAGATCGACGGATCCGCTGAACCGACCCGCGAGTGGGAACTACGCAGGCAGGAGTATCTGTCTATCCAAGAAAGGCCGACCAAAGAGCTTCATGTGGGGCGTCTGTATGATAAGCTGAACCGGCTGGGCCTCCAGCTAGGGCCTCTCTTCCAAAATCTTACTCGAATTAATGCCGGTGATGGTTTCGGCTACGGGGAACTCCAGATTCCTGACTCGGCGGCAAGAATGCCGGAGAACTTTGAGTATCCGACTCCGATACACCCTGCTGTGCTTGATGGCGTGTTTCAAATGATGATTTCCTGTGGGACGGTTAAGGACGATTCCTCCGCCATGGCTCCTAGTTTCATTGAGTCATTATATGTCTCGGCTTCTCTCCCAAGCGATGCCGGTTCTCTCTTGCGTGGCTTCAGCACACTTGGGCCTAAACTGCGCCTCCAGCAAAGTGGTACAGTGGTCATGTCCGACGATACCTGGAGTGAGCCCAAGGTACTGTTGGAAGGGTTCGTTTGCAAGGAACTTTCTTCGCGTCTCAACAGAGCTCAGCGCAATCTTTGTACGCAGTTGATGTGGAAGAAGGATGTGGAATGCTCGCATTCAACAATGCGTACGCTTCTGAACACGCAGCGCTTCTCTCTCGACCCGGCCATTGCTGGACGCGCTTCTCTCTGCGACCAGGCCGTGTCCGAATACGTGAAGAAGTCACTGGCCATGCTTTCCACTGAGGTGGACAAAGAAAGGGATGGCGTGCTGCAGCAATACATCAACTGGATGCGTAGCCTTTCCGATCAATCCTTCAGTGACGAAAGCACGTGTGCTCTCAATGACGAATCTCCACGCATGCTGAAGGCGATTGAAGCGGTGGGAAGCAAACTGGAGGAGATCATGAACCCACACACTGACAGCAATGCTCTGACAAAGAGCTTGATCTCAGAATTTATCGACGATTGTCTGGGACAATCATTCATCAACTCCGTCGTGGTCGAGCTTCTTGATCACGCGGGATTTGTGAGCCCCAATATCGAAATCCTGGAGATCGGCAACGGGTCAACCTCCTGTGCAGCGTCCGTCCTCGATCGATTGAGCGACAAGACATCGGGATCAGCTCGCCTCAAAAGGTACACATTCACAAACCGCTCGCAGGAGTCGCTGGATTCAGCCCAGGATTGCTTGGCCGATCGGGAAATGGTGGATTTCAGGCTTCTGGATATCGGCCAGGATCTGAAAATGCAAGGTTTCGAATCCGAAAAGTTCGATTACATCATTTTTAACGAATTTCTGCCGACTGCAGGGGACCTTGAGTCCGGACTGTGCAACCTGAGGAAACTGTTGAAGGACTGTGGGAAATTGCTCCTCGGCGCGATAACAAAAGCTCAGCTGCGAACAGCGTTTGTCCTGGGGCTTGACCCGCGATGGTGGAGCCATTATAAAGACGATCATATTCGAGCCTTTCCTCTGAATGAGGATGCTTGGGAAAGAGTCTTGAAAGAAAGTGGCTTTGCCGGAGTCCAGCATATCGTCCACGATTCTGACGCTGTGGACCTCCATCAGTTGTCTCTGATGGTGTCTTCAGTCGAGCGTACTAATTCTTTCAATTTCTCCGAAGTAATCATCCTCAAACCGGACGTCTGCGATACCGATGTTGCCGCATTATCTGCCAACTTTGCGGGTCTGCTGGTTAAACTCGGGTTTACCGTCAGCGAGAGGAATTGGGACACGATAGGAGATGTGTCTGGTAAGGCCTTGGTGTCCTTTTGGGAGATTGACAACCCCGTCCTTGGAGAAATGTCAGAGCCGGTCTTTGAAGTGGTTAAGGGCATCGTGTTGAACAGCGCGGGCGTCTTGTGGATCACCCGAGGTGGTCAGGTCTCCGGGCCTTTCAAGCCATTTTCTGGCGTTAGCACTGGCTTCTTTCGGGCTCTTCGCTCCGAGGACCCAGAGAAACGCCTTGGAACATTCGACCTATCTCTAGGTCTTGACCTGCATTCGGAGCTCGCTGCCACTCTAGTTTCTGAAGTCTTTGAGGGCCTTTTCAGCTCGAGCGAGCGCGAAACCAGAGACTACGAGTTCGCGGAGGACGGCTGCTGTCTATACGTGCCACGGCTTGTCGAAGAGCCTGGGTTGAATTCGGCAATGGCAGCGTTGAACGAGAAGCCACGACCGGTCATGGAGAAACTGCTCCAAGACGAGCGGCCGTTGAAGATGGAACTTGGCGAGCCTGGGCTGCTCAATACATTCCAATTTGTCGAGGACAGACAATTCCAGGAGCCCTTGAATGCCGACTATGTGGAACTGAAGGTGTTGTGTACTGGTAAGTACATCGTGTGAACGTTGCGGTTTACCCCTAACTCACTCTTCGCAGGACTCAACTTCGTGGACGTGATGGCCGCCCTAGGACAAGTGCCTACACCTACACTTGGCTGCGAAGTGGGCGGCATCATCACCAAGGTGGGATCGGCTGTGACCAAGTTCAAACCGGGAGATACAGGTTCGCACAATGCTTGCCTCACGTTGAGTACTTTAGATGAGCTAACTCTGTGTAGTGGCAGGCATGCTCCAAGGCAGTTTCAACACTCATGTCCGTATCAGGCAGACCATCATCCAGCACGTCCCCGCTCATATGACCGTCGAAGCAGCAGCCACCGTCATAACCGCCTTCTCAACCGCGTGGATAGGGCTAGTCAATAGGGCCAGGCTCCGTCGAGGAGAAACGGCACTAATTCACTCCGGAGCTGGTGGCGTCGGTCAAGCCGCAATTCAGATTTGCCAGCACTTCGGTGTGGAAGTATACACAACCGTGGGCTCTGTAGCCAAGAAAGACCTGCTTATGGATCGCTATGGGATTCCAGAGGACCACATTTTCAGTTCCAGGGATGGCACTTTCGCCCAAGGTATCATGAGAATGACCAAGCGACGTGGTGTGGATGTGGTGCTCAACTCTGTTTCCGGAGAATCCTTGCGCCAGTCCTGGCACTGCCTCGCTGATTTTGGACGCTTCATCGAAATTGGCAAACGAGATCTCCTGGGAAACACAGGTCTCGATATGCAGCCCTTCCTTCGTGGTGTTAGTTACATCGGTGTTAATCTCGAGCAATTCCACCCCACCAGTGAAGTGCATATGGAATTGTCAGAGGCTCTCCAGGACATTTTCAATCTCCTCAGCGACAGGAAATTGAGAGAGTTGTACCCCATAACGACCTATACCTACTCTGAGGTAGAGCAGGCTTTCAGAGGGCTGCAATCTGGGAAGGTATTTGGGAAGATTGTTGTCCGAGCCAGCCCAGATGATATAGTTCCAGTCCTACCTCGGGCTAACCCTCCCTTTACCCTGGATGCCAACGCAACATATCTGTTGGCCGGTGGCCTCGGAGGGATTGGCAGAAGCATTGCGGACATGCTCCAGTCTCACGGCGCCAGATACCTAGCGTTTCTCTCCAGATCTGGTGATTCAAAGCCGGAGGCACAGAGGTTCCTCAAGCAGCTGAGCCGTTACGGTTGCACTGCCAAGGCATACTCTTGTGACATCTCCGACCGAGAAGCGGTCTTTCAAGCAGTTCGACAATGCAGCACTGAGCTACCGCCCATCAAGGGCTTTGTTCAATGCTCTATGGTACTGAAGGTAAGCGAGAGCCATTTCCGTCCTTGCTGGTCACCCATTAAAGTCTGACGATGAATAGGACGGATTGTTTGATAATATGACGTATGATGACTGGACCGTCTGCACCAGGGCCAAAATCCAGGGATCTTGGAATCTTCACGAGGCCCTGCCGAGGGACCTCGACTTCTTCGTCATGCTCTCGTCTATCTCAGGCGTTATCGGAAACCCTGGACAAGCGAACTACTCGGCTGGGAACGTCTATGAAGATGCTCTTGCGCACTTCCGGCGCCGACAGGGGTTGGAGGCAACAGCCTTGGACCTTGGTGCTGTCCGAGACATCGGCTATCTAGCTGAGTCCGGAGACGCCGCAAACATGAGCCATTTGCAAGCACTGCAGGTGAGCGAAGCGGATATCCATAGCCTTCTTGAGATCGTCATCACGCGTCGCAAGCTCAAAAACGATAACATACCGCCGCAAGTGGTGACCGGTCTGGTTGCTGGTGACGAAATGGAGGAAATCGTGCAGCGCACACGTTGGGCTCGAGATGTCAAATTCTCGATTCTATGGAAAACAAGCGAATCCGGCGCTGATGCTGGAGTCCTGGCGGGGTTGGACGCCTTCACTAAGGCAGAGTCATTGGTAGCAGCTGCCGCGATTGTTGAAGACATCATCATCTCGCGGATTGCCAAAGTGTTGATGATGCCTGTAGAGGATATCAGTAACACTCAGCCACTGCATTCTTATGGAGGTGAGTCCCGTTTGTGGCTTCGTTTCCCACTTCTCTTTCCTCTTTTCCTCCTTTCCTCTTTTCCCAACTGCAAATCCGTTATTCATGGTAGGCCTATACTGACCGTCTAACAGTGGATTCCTTGATCGCGGTTGAAATGCGAGCATGGATAGCCAAAGAGTTCCACACTGAGATCTCCGTCTTTGACATTCTCAGTCCAGTCCCTCTCTCTGGTCTAGCCATGAAAATCGTCCAAGAAAGCAACTTATTGCCAGACAGGTTGAAGCAGGAAATGCAGGGTAATGAAGAGCCTGCAGAGACCAAATAAGGGAAGCGAGGCTTGTTGCCATTGCGTCTAAATCGTGAACAATGTATTTGAGTACGTTACTCTAACAGCAAAAATTCAACGAATAGGTAGAGATAAGAGTCCACACAAATCAATAATCACCGATATATGCAAACCGATCTTGAATGCTTAGATGCTTGGATGCTAGAAGCTTGATGCAATTGTTCTGAACTTCTGCTGATTTCCGACGAAACTTTAGCAGGCACAGCGAACCCGTGGATCATGTGATGTCTCCATGAGGTATCTCACCGATCCATATTGTGGGGTTGCTAGGTACTGGCTCTACTTGAGAAAATACTCTTGCAGTGTCAACAACTCTGAGGCAAGGACTTGACATTGATCAAATGTAGACGGCTGCTAAATGCATTTCAAGAAACCAAGTATAAAACTCCAGTGAAGTCCATCTGACTAGTCCCACAGACCTCGCAATCTGTCGGATAACTCTGAAATCTGGGAACGAACAGTTCCAATTTCCGGTATGGATATGATCCAACATTTGCAGGGTGCGCGAGACATGTTCCCCGAGATTGATGATGAGTCGTGGTAATGATCACTACCATGAGAACAATCCAGCTTGGACATGAAGAGCCTGAATCGGACGAGCGAGTGGTCCAGGCGAAGGAGGAGCTCAAGGGCCTTCAGCTGAACTCCAAGACGGTGCTCGTTCTTGGGCGTGAAACCATTGCATCCCGCCAAATTGCCGGAGCTAGAGCTGGCTGGGGAGGATTCCTCTGCGGAGCATCGCCCATCATCTGCGGTCCCAAGGTTTTTGTGGAGCCGAAAGTTGAATTCAATGACCCCGATACACATTTCGACCGCCTCCATCACCGCTACCCGGACGATTCTCCACTTGGATTGCTCTGTTCGCTGCAGCTGTGAGGATGGATTGTGTTGAAGCACAGACGTTATTTGGTTGAGCTTGTCCAAAATCTGAAAGACTGAAGAGAGCTCATCTTGGTCACTCTCAGCCAGTATATTGAGAGAAGTAGCCTTGCAGCGATTGTGGAGTTCTCCATAGAGCTTCAAAGCGTTGTTGAAGTCTTGCTCGCCGTCGGTTTCGGAACTTTCAATGACGCCGCCTGCGACATACCAATTTTCCGTCATGAACGCATCCATCTGAAGTGACTCTGCAGCGTGTGCGAAATCTGATGAGAAGGGTTCCATCTGAGCACCAACAGAATTGTGTGTCATCAACTGCCCAAAGCGCTCACTCTCAATACCAAATCCCCCGGTTTCTTCGAAATTGTACACTGCAGATATATCGCCGACGGGGTCCATTGTGAGGTTTTCTGAAATCGGGTGCCATGCCGTATTTCCCCATTGATTTGTTTCCACTGGGACGCGCCGACGGCCATTTGACTGGCTCTGTGACCAGTCTTTTGGCGACTGTGAACCGTTCAGCTCCTTTCGCAAGTCGTCCGATTGCGCCAGCATCTGCAGGACTGTCATACTTGGTGGACACCCACTAGAAACAGACATACCAGTGGTATTGTGCACCGCGGTCTTGGTATTGGTGGATGACGCCTGTTTACGGGGTCGTCCGATCTTGCTCCGGAGGGAAAAGAGACAGCGCCGCTGATTGACCCGGCATGCCTCGCAACTGCCCCCAGATCCGGTGAGCGACGGCTCACAGCGAACCTTGCGGACATGGCATTCCTCACAGGCCAAACGAAACTGAGGTTCAATAAGACGGGAGGAGCTGGACGAGACGGAGTTGGAGGAGGAGGATGATGACCCGGAAGCGGAGCTGATGTCTGTCATCCCTATTTCCAGCCTTTCGCTCCTCTTTTCCTGCTGCTCGACTTGTTATCCTGTAGCCAAGTTCTGCATTGCGAACGGTTAGATCGTGAAAGGCCCACAGAAAGTGGATCACCTTAACCTTCGGCTTACGTTCTGTTGAAGGACTATTATAGGATGATCACTGGCGATCGGAAACTTTGATTGAATCATGGAATCCTTCAAGGGAACGAATTATGGGGATGGATAAAGGTTTGCTTTGGAGGGTTCCCGAAAGACAGACCTTCTCCGAGACGACAATGCACCATAATAGAGCGCACTTGACACCCTTTTCCCTTTTTCTTCCCCCGCAGGATCCAAGTCCTGCGTTCTGCGATCGCAAGCGCTGGGGACCTGAGGGAATCGCGGATGTCCGGCGACATCTTCGGTGCTATTTGGGTTGGCCAATTTGATTATTGCATTTGTCTCCGCTAGAACCAGTCTGGCGGGAATTTAATCCAACTGCTCCTCTATCAATTCCTGGACGACACGGATCTTACGGCCGAACACTAGGGAAATGTGACTTCTGAGCGATAGCCACCGCTAACAAGGATGACCACATTGCGAAGTGTCCGAAGGCATTACATGAGCCAATTGGCTGGGCATTGCTTGCACTTGCTTGGTTTGAATGTTTCGTCGTTTTGCATCCATGACTTTGATTCGTGCCGCGTGGATAGGGCAATTCGCGAACTATGCAGGGGAAGGGGCTCGATTCGGAAGAGAACAAGTACAACTAAACTTACCCATGTGCCAATGACCTTGGTTCGCTTGCATTGGGCAGTTGATCCCCCTCACTTTTCCAAGCACCCCCGCGACATCGAGCCGCCGCGGGTGCGAGTGTCCCACTTTCGATAATCTCAGCAGTAGGCAGTCGTATATCGCATCGGACTCTGGCGTTGGAAGTCTGGCATATCAGTATCCATCTCAAGTCCGCGTGTCACATGTTCAGAACACAAACAGCTCATCTTCTTAGTCTGCTGTATGCACCATTTATGGACTTCACAAGCCTCACTGGATAGTGCTCATTATTAGAGCCAAGCGCACGATGTAACGGTGTGACCGTGTGATCTCGCCAGGCCATAGGATTGGCCGTGCAATATGGACTAATGGAAAAGCCGCGCCACGAGGCGCAGAGCCTTGCTAGTCGCCCAATCACACTGCGATTCCAATCTGAGCGCAGTCCAGGGTCTTTACAGGTCAGATGTGACGCCGAAGTACTCCGCATACGACGCACAGGGGTTTTAATGGCGGAAATACCCTCATGGAGAGCCCCTCTCGTTAGCTCACACCACCCATCCATATCCTAGTCAAGCTTTTCCGCCTAGAGTCAACGCCAAGGTGGAAGTTGCGCGATACTATCACACCATTTCTGGACCCGCAATAACCAGACCAAATGATGCGATGCATGCCTCTAGCTGTCTAGAGTGCCAAACAAGCAGGAAATGTCTCTCGGATCGAGCAGAAAATTCTTGTAGATTGGGTTATACAATTCATACCGCGAAAGGAATGCATAGCGACTTTACGGTCCCCCCTTGTCATATGATCCAACACTTTGAACGATCTCCCTCGAGAAGAGCCAATCAACGTCTTTAGACTTCACCAACAGGACCGGGAGATCCCCCGCACCCCCAGAAATGAGGAAAACAATGTCCTTGCTAAGCAATAGCAGTGACGTCCTCAGAAGTCTGGGCTTTTTTGACGATGAAGTATGTGAGCAGCGTAAGAACGGTCACCCATGCCCATGGTACGATCCAGCCTAGAACCTCGAGTTAGAGTACTGGTCCCGACACCGCAGACTTTTCTCATGAAGGGTCGATTGTGAAAAACGCACCGAGGACGAATGATATTTCCTTGTTCGTCAGGCTTCCAATCAGGGCGAGGAGCAAGATGGACACACCCAGCCCGGACAGGCCCCAGGCCCAGCCCATCCGTTGTAGAAGGGCCTGGAGCGCTTTGCTCGAACCATAGCGAGCATCCAGAAGCTGGCGGAAATGCACCCCCTGTCCTCCATCAACCGCGACCACGTCTTCAATAATTGTGTACACCCCTGGTCGAACCAAGGCGCCTTTTGCCATCGATGAAATACGAAACGGATATTTGGCGCGCAGCCAGACCAGCATTGAGCCTAATACCAATTGACTGCTAATCTGAAAAGCCAACAGCGGTAGAGGAAGACTGACAAGCAGAACCGCAGTGTTATCGAGGGTGTGGGCAATGGCCACGGCTACAGCCAACAACGCGGCGATGTAGATGAAACCGAACAGAAAGTTCCATTGGAAGTAGTCGAGCTGCAGGCATTTTTCACATGTCAAGAGCCATTTGTAATATGCAGGGGAGAAGAAGACAGGTACTCACCTGATATCTCCCTGTTCGTGATGGACGACATGTTGAGTCAGGCCGGACAAGCCGCCAAGTCCGGCGCACCAACGCCAGCACACTCCCCGCGCCTAGGATGGAAGCTATGATTGCAAGTACTATGGCGGATTTAGTTCTGTCAGCAACTACAGTGAGCTGAAGTGATTCTTCCGGTATCTCATCCCCCGGGGCAACCATGACTCAGGTGGAAGGGCTTCATCATATCTACCTATCCATAGCTCCAGTCGAGCGACGTATCTGAGAAGGAAGTACAATAACACTGGAATCAGTCCACTACCGGTGAAAAGGACGGCGGCAGTGACCGCAATTGCCGTCCTCCATTGGCGAAAGTTTGCTGTGACCTCGCCGTGGGAGATCCGGTTCGTGAGATGAGAAGGGCCTTTCGCTTCCTCTCCATTGAACGACATTCTGGTTGCAGTAACGGAACTCGACTGTGTTGAGTTAACTAACGAATTTGCTATCAGCCCCATCTATGCTCCTGAGCAGTATAACTAGTAACTATCTTGTCTAGGCTGAAGGATTAGCACCGCTCTAACTAGCAGCATAACGAATAGCACCGCATAAAAGTCGCCGGCGGAAGAAGGCTAGGCAGAACTAATTTCAAAAATTGGCCGATGCATAAGGCCCATTTGAACACCTCTTGCATGGTTGTTTTTACGGCCATTTTCTGTCCCATGTCTGTCTGCTCGACCTGCCCGCCATGGTCTTTGAGCAAACTATACATGTGGAACTATGGCAAGATCAGATAAGAGGGTCCTTGACTGTCGCTTGCAGGCCATTCCTACTCTCGGGGTAACGTACCTGGAAATCGCCTTGTCTTCGCCATAATCCTTTTTGGATACGTTATCTTGGCGTTCACTATGGCCGCCGACCATGATCACCGGTCTCCTTTCATGGATTGGCCTAATGATGCAGGCGTATGTTCGACCCGTGATGGTATTCAGTCTGAAAGCTGAACCTGCTTCGATACACAGTTCGAGGCCACTGCCGAATGTCGCGAGGCCGTTGAATTACCAGTCACCGGCTCAATCCCTTGGCAGGTCGCGGGAACACTCTACCGAGTAGGCCCCGGAACCTATAAAGTGGCAGGGAGCAAGTACCAGCTCAGTCATTGGTTTGATGGGTTCACTCATCTTCATCGGTTTCAGCTGGTGGCGCAGCCTACTGGTACCTGCAGGGTGCGGTATAGCTCGCGACGGCAAGTTGATAGACTGGTCGAAGAAGCACGCAAGTCGGGGACTCTCGAGGGCATCACCTTTGGCCAGAAACGAGATCCATGTGCGAGCATTTTCCAGAAGGTCAAAAGTTTCTTTCGTCCCTCGTTCAATACCAAAGACCCGGGGCTTGTCAATGCCGGGGTCACCGTCCATGCAAATGTACGTTTAGGGTATTTCGGAATCCGTCTCGTCTTCTACCCACCCAAGACTCTACTGCAGCCGCGTTTGAGATAACGCAGTCTGGTTCTAACAAGCTAGATCCCTGGCGTACCGCCTCATCTTAAGAGCTCCGATCCATTGGCAGGGGTGCGGCAGTTCCACAGTCTGACCACTATGACAGATGCCAACATACTCAAACATGTAAAGCCACCATATTCGCAAGGTGTAGTCAATTTATTGATGGAACGGGCGTTCTAAATTTAACAGGTCGACCCTGAGACCCTGGAGCCGATAGGGGTCACTCGCCAGGACGTTCTGCACCCCGAGTTGCGAGGTCCCCTTTCGTGTGCTCATGCCGCCCTCGACCCTACAACTGGGGATTTGTTTAACTATAACCTCGACCTGGGTAGGTACGCAACCTACAGAATTTTCCGAACATCGGCTGCCACCGGCCAGACGGATATCCTTGCAACTATTTCAGGGCCAACCGTCAAACCGGCTTACCTCCACTCCTTCTTTCTCAGCGCCGACTATGTGATTCTGTGCATCTGGCCCTGTATCTTTGCGGCAGCTGGCGTCAAGATCCTGTGGGAGAGAAACATGGTGGATGCTATGCGATTCGACTCCAACATTCAGACGCGCTGGTATGTCGTGGACCGAAAACACAACAGAGGGGTCGTGGCTGCGTTTTTAAGCCCGGCCTTTTTCAGCTTCCATACCATCAATGCATGGCAGACCGACAACGGCGACGGAACGGTGGATATCATGTGTGATATCATTCAATATCCGACCGACGAAATGATACGGCGAGGATACTATGAATCGATGGTCTCCACCGGTAGTGACGTGGAGAAATACTTTGGCAGTGAAGCGTCGCGTCCCAGTTTGGTCCGCTATCGCCTGCCGAGCGTGCCCAAGGACTCCCGGGTCGAGTTGCCTACCAACGATGCAAATATACCCCAAGCAGACGTACTGCTGAAAATCGAAGGCGAAGGCGTTGGAGACCTGCCCACCATCAACCCTTGTTTTGCCAGCAAGAAGACGCGATATGTGTACAACGTCGTCAACCAAGGAAAGGTAAGCAACTCTATTCCTTGATGGACTATGAGATATCATTAAGAGCTAAGCATCGGATCTTTCCAGTCGTCTTTTTTTGATGGCATCGCCAAAGTTGATCTGGAAACGCAAAAGGTCCTAATCTGGAGCCATGACCGCCATACTCCTGGCGAAGCTGTCTTTGTGCCAGACGGTGCGAATGCCGCTGAAGATGCCGGGTACCTGCTCAGCATTGTTCTGAATGGTGACACAGGCACAAGCTACCTTTTGTGCCTCAATGCGCGTGACATGACGGAAGTAGGACGCGCTGATTGTGCTGCAGCAGTGGGCTTTGGTTTTCATGGCACACATTACCCTTTGCAATTGTCCTCAAAATAGATGTCTTAGACTATACTTGACTGAGGCCGGGAAACCGCTGCTCCACTGAGGGTGCGATAAGGGACATGATATATCCTGTGAATTGTGATGGCAGGGCCCACCGACCCACTGAGGAGATTTCCGGCTTCGGACCAAGATTTCAATGACTGGCAGGGCGATGTTTTCTGTCTTCTAGTTCAGCGGGCCCAATTAGAAGATAAGCTAGAGGACATTACTATGTTTGTTCCAACCATGGTACGTAGAAGCAGATGCAGCTGTAGCGGGGGGAAACAGAGGGCGGAATCAGGTGACCCTGCGCTGTTTACCTCCGACGTCACTAGATCCCTCTTAGTCTTACTGTGCTGCGGACGCTGCCAAGTACTGATCGTCATCCATCGCGATAATTCAGTCTCATATATTATTATTGTCAGAGGCCGCCTTAGTCTTGGAAGCAAACATAAATATAAGTCATCCCTCCCCGGCCGGCAATTCTTGGAACTCTATCGTCAATCTCACCTTGGTTCGCTCTCCGAACTACCTACTAAGATCTACACTGCAGCCAGCCCATTTCAAGTTTTGAACCGGCAACAATCAAGTTACATTTCTGCAGGGATGCATTAAATGCATTAAATCAAACCAGCCAGTTTAGTCAAGGACAACGGTATGTCATTTCGGGACCTAAGCTCTGCTTCTGTTCAGCTTCTCATCTGAGAGTATAGATATGTCTCTAAATCGAGTCTCTTACCTTGAGTCGTGGGGCCAAACTCGGCCTGTATCGCATCAGCAACCGCATCAGGGCCAAGAGGATGGCGATTCTGACTCTGTGGACGGGCGCAATGTCGACCTTCCGGAGGGGTCGATTGCGTCCTCCTTCCAGTCAACGTACACTTACCGTTTAAATTTCAATCCGTATGCTGGGCCCGGTTGGACCCAGCCCCCCGATGAAGTTGCCCCTGAAGACCTCGCGTCTGGTCCTCAAAGTCCTACGATAAAAACCCAGCCGAAACTGCCGGACGAGAGTGACCGTGGAGGATATGATCCACAAGGTTCCTCCTTAAAATTGCCGGATGAAGACTATCCGTTGGAAACTACTGGAGCGTTCGAAGTCAGTAGTACAAGACGAATCTGTAAGCCGAAGAACTTTGTTTGCTCACGATCCGAGAAGTACTAATGAGATACTCAGGCCAGGTAATTACTGCGGTCATCTATTGCTTCCTCGCAGCAGGTGTTGTGTTCGGATTTGCGGCATTGAAACCTGTCTTGATTCGGGAAGGGGTCTATCGCAATCGGTGTTCGCGCGACGAGCTCTCTAGAAACCGGGAAGTCTGCTATGGACAGGAGCTGCGGTACGCATCATGATCTCTGTCCCTTGACCAAGCTGACGCGAACAGCCTGAATCTCATGTTCACAATCGCCGCCGTGGCGACCAATGTATCCGCCTTGCCAGTTGGCACTATCCTGGATAAATACGGTCCTCGCGTGTGTGGTATCATTGGCAGCATATGTCTCACCTTCGGCGCCTTACTGCTCAGCTTCGCTGCCAGTCTCCCCTTTGATGCATACATTCCCGGATACTTCTTTCTATCGCTCGGAGGGCCCTTCATCTTTATCTCGTCATTCCAGCTGTCCAACACATTCCCCACTCGCTCTGGGTTGATACTATCCATGCTCACAGGTGCATTCGATGCGTCCAGCGCCTTGTTTTTAGTCTTCCGGCTCGCCAACGAGCGCAGTAACGGGTCATTTACCACCCACAGGTTCTTCATGGTTTATCTGATCGTCCCCGCCTTCATCCTCGCCGCGCAACTCCTCATCATGCCAGCCACATCCTACAAAACGGCTGGCGAACTAGTCCAACAAGCAGAAGCGTACATCGTCGACGAAGCCAACGACCGCGTCGACGAGCGCATCAGCAATCGCTCCGAAGGCGAGCGTCAGCGCAACGACCGCCGCGTGCACCGCCAAGACGTCGTCAGCAAGATCCAAGATCTCCTAGGCGAGAGCAGCATCAATGACGTCCCGGGGCTCGACGAGTTCTCTCGAACCACTCTTCCTCCTCCGGATGAAGCGCAAGACCGCATCGTCGGCAAAACCCCACCCCGCAACACCACCGCCGGCGGCGTCTGGGGCGCACTCCACGGCCGCTCCGCTCTCCAACAAATCGCCACCCCCTGGTTCGTCCTCATCATGCTCTTCACCGTCCTCCAGATGCTCCGCATAAACTACTTCGTCGCCTCCATCCGCGCCCAATACGACTACCTCCTCTCCCCAGCGCTCTCCAAACAACTCAACAGCGCCTTCGACGTCCTCCTCCCCCTCGGCGGCCTCCTCTCCGTTCCCTTCATCGGCACCATCCTCGACAACCTGAAAACCCAACAGGTCCTCCTCATCCTCGCCTCCACCGCCACCCTCATCGGCATCCTCGGCTGCATCCCCCACAGCCTCCCCGCCGGCTACGCCAACATCGCCCTCTTCGTCATCTACCGGCCCTTCTACTACACCGCCGTCTCCGACTACGCCGCCAAGGTCTTCGGCTTCCAGACCTTCGGCAAGGTCTACGGGCTGATCATCTGTCTCGCGGGGCTAGGCAATTTCCTCCAGGCGGGCCTCGATGCCGT